GATCTGGTGGCTGGGAAACATGACCAGGAGGGTATCATTGTACTTGCGACTTTTGCAAAAGCCCCTGGCGGGGCAGTGTGCTGATGAAATGCTGGACTAGGCAGGATTTTGGCCTGATCCAGCAGAATTCCTGCTCCTGTTTCCCCTGAAAAGTGCTATTTGCAGTAAGCAACATCTTTTTTTTGGGGGGGGGCACAAAAAGCAGGAAGGGGATTTTTGGTAGGTAACCCAGTGCAGAGCCCAGGTGTAGAAGTGGGATGAGTTCCTTACTGGGGCATTAGTTCTTCAGAATGAAATAGGCTAGTTGAAGTCTGATTTTTCTTTAGAAGCATGAATACTGTGACGTATAGTTTGGCCAAGAATGCTGAAGTCAATGGTCACATTCCAGCCTAAACCTAATGGGGTGGACCTGTGCCACTTACTGTGACATCGCTAGTGCTGTCAAATGAGTACCTTTCGCAATCACGTTCCAGGTCACACTTCCAAGCTGCAGTGGGGTCTGGCTGGGACATATTGGTAATTGGAGGACTTTTTTCTGGCAAAACACACATGGCATTGCTCTTGACCTTTACTTGAAAGATGGTAATCCCATACAGTGTATTACGGGCGGCTTTCAACAGGAAACAGATGAAATGCAAGTCAGATTTTACGATTCAATGATAACTGTTGTCCTGGATTTACTACTTTAAAAAGCAACAAAAAATTGGCTTCAGTTGGTTTGAAATATGCAAGACCAGTCAGTGGCCTTAGATTTACTGATGTTTAATGCTTTTTAAACCTCTTATGATTGACATTTGCTATGCTTCATGTCAAGCTATGAGCTCAAAGCCAATGAAAATGCAGATGAATTGCTGCGCTGCATTGCCACGAGTAGTTATTTAGGTTACATGCACTGTGACTTGGCTTATTTTGTGCAAGGGCAGCTTTTGTCGTAAGGTGGCACTCTTTTCTAAATTTAAGAGGCAAACCACAGGATGTGCTCCAGTGGCTTCCCTAACACCATGTCATTGTTTGGAAGACAGCGACCCGGCAATGAGATGAAATTCAACAGCATATTTAAACAACTCGCCTCATCCCAGACCTTCTGTGCATAACACCACATACACAGAGTAGGAGGAGGTTAAGCTGCTTCTCCTTAAGATGCTCAGGGGTTTTTCCCCCAGCTTTTGTGCTGCTTTATCTCCCATTCTCAATGCTGAAATCCCTTCTCTGTGGCTTAGTCACTAGCAGTAAGAGCTGTAAGCTAAAATGTGTTGATTTTGTAGGGTATTTTTGGCTCTACTCCGTTGGCCTTTCCCTCCACCCACCACTGGGTTGTAGACACTGCAAGCATCTCTGAAATTGAGCATGCATGGTTCTTGGGCTGAAGCTGGCTCCCCATCCCTGCTTCACTTGACGCATGAACAAGTCTGGGTCCAACCATTCCTTTTGAAGGGCAGTGTCGAGTTTGTATCCAAGCCAGACAACTGGTCTGAGAAGCCTAAATGCAATTTCCTGACTTATCTATAGAAGTAAAGTAATGGGCATCTGTGTTAGAGACCTATTCATCTTTACATCTGACCAAAGAACGTACTTGAAACTTAAAAAAAAAATGAGATTCCCACAAAAAATAGCGCAGAACATGCTACGGCCTCAACTCACAGGTTTCAGCCTGCCTCCAAAGCTAGCCCACCTAGAATGTGTCCAAAAAATGCCTAAAATATCATCAGGCATCTTTCCATTGGGAAGTCTTGCCTGAGGGAATTCCATGGAATGCTTGTTGTTGTCAATATGTAATGCACAGATGGCATTGCTAAGAGAGCTTTCCATCTGTCTTGAGGGGTTGCAGTTGCATAGGGTGGGAGAAGGTCAACAAAGTACATTCTAGAATTTTGTACTTTGAGGCTGTTGCATAGTGGTTAGAGCAGAGGGACAGAATCTCAGGCCCGAGGACCACATATGGCCTCTCCGGGGTCTAATTTCCCAGAGGGCCACTCCTTTTCCTCAGACCACCAATCATTTGGTGGCTCCCTGGCTTTGTGCAATCCTAGTCAAAGAAAGAAAGAAAAACATCAATAGGTTCAAATGACACACCTGGAACTACGTTACTGATAGTCGTATCTTGAAGCTAAAATGTACTGGCACTTTTGGCCTTTTTTCACCCTCTGTTGGAATGTGCGTCCCCCCCCCCCCCCCGCAAGAACTTCTTCCAAAGATTCTGAATACTTGCCTTAGGAGGTTGGGCCAGGACTGGAGAAACTGGGTCAAGACCTTCTGCAGCCATGAAGGTGACTGAACGAGCTTGGACAGACATTCGCTCTTGGCTTAATCTCTCTGAACTGTTGGGACAATCATTGGAATAAAGGCAGAGGAGGGAAGAGAGAAAAATCAAATATACTGCCCAAGCTCCTGGGGGTTATGGTAGGACACTGTCAAACAAACAGACCAATTAGATTGCACTTGGAAGACAAAATAGGCACATGTTGAAACCATGGTGCAATTCTTTCCTGGTGGCTTACCCCTGTACGGCTGCTAGCCATTGTATTCTCTACCAACTGATGTTCCTGAGATGGTCCCCACAGGCAGTGCAATGTAGAGCAGAATTCCAATAATCAAGCCTCAACATGATAAAGGCCAGTGTTGAGGGCCAGTGTGTCCTAGTGGTTAAGGCCATGGGACTGGGGCTCAGATGATCTGGGTTCTAGTCCCCGCTCGGCCATGGAGCCAACTGGGTGACTTTGGGCCAGTCACAGGCTGTCAGCCCAACCTACCTCACAGGGTGGTGGTTGTTGTGGGGATAAGATGGAGGAGGAGGATAATGTCGTCAGCTGCCTTGAGCCCTTTGTAGGAAAAAGGCAGGATATAATAAAGGCATGAATAGTGGTCACCAAATCTGCAACGGACATCACCAGATGTTATATTCTACTGCTCACTGGGTGCTTTGGACTAGAGGTTCTAGCAATCAGTACATTACGCCCTCCAGTGTTTCTCTGCAACCTTGAACAGAATTGCTCTTAAAAACCAGATCAGTTCTTCATATATGGAAAATAATCTGCTTCTGCTTGCTCAGAAGAACACAGGGGGCCAAACTGACTAATAAGATCAGGCATCTGATGGCCAAGCCCAATCAGTTTCATTTAGTGAAAAATGGTGTGTGTTTCTTACATATTCAGAAGTAAGAATTCTTCAGTGCAGCAGTTCCCAAGTCAACACAATATTTTGGGAAGGGCTTGATTACTGTACGAAGATTGTTTGATATTTATCATCATATAATTAAAGAAAATCTATTGTAATTAAGGACCGTTCACTTTTGTGTAATACTTTGGGAGACTTTTTGCGGATGCATTTTGTTTGTTGTAACTAAATTGTCTTGCTTTGACTTTTCCACTTTTTGTTCAACCTGAGATTGAAATGGATTTAATGGGCATTGTTACCATTTGATGCCCGCACAATATTTAACACTGTGCTAATATTTTTATTGTGGCACAAAACTTAAGCCAGCAAGAACAAACTGATCCTTGTTGGTTGCATAAGCATTATCATTATTACATTGCATTTTATACCTTCCCATTTTCCCTCATTTTTCCATATGCTTCCGAATATGCTTTGGTGCAGTTCCAGTGTTACATGATCTCAGATTAAGTACACTTGTTGGATGACATAACTACACAAACAGCATCAGGTAGACCAAGGAACTCTCAATCAAAAACAACCCCAGGATAAAGTTGTGCAGAAGTTCCAATCAAGGTTGAAGTTAAGCCCCCACCCCCTGCAACTATGAATAACCCCGGGTGGACCATTACATCCAGTATCACAAAATAGACAGAATATGGTTCAACCACAACTTTGCCTAGAAAAGGCTGTTGGCAAAACTCAGTGACTGGGCAAGGGAGGCATTAGTTAGAGAAGGAACCCAGAAGCCAAGAGTAACTCTGAAAGAACTGGCTAAATCTGCAGCTGAGATGGCCCAACAATGGAGGCGATGCTTTAGAAAGCCGGGCTTTGGAGAACAGTGGTGAGAAGAAAGCCATTGCTGAAACAAACACATATCGAACTCTGTTGAGAATTTGTAAAAGGGCTTGTGGGAGCAAAGATGTGGGAAAAATCGGATTTTTGGCAGTGGTGCAAAACACTGTGACACAAAGCCACCAACACTCATGGGCCTGAGGGATCCCTGCAGTGAAGCGTGGTGGTGGCAACATCATGTTGTCAGGATGCTTTTCCTTAGCACGGACTCAGAAACTGATCAGGATTGTAGGCAAGGTGGATGGGACCAAATACAGGGCAATTCTACAGGAAAACCTGTTTTAGTCTGCAGGGGACCTGGGACCAGTGCAGAAGTTCATTTCAGAAACGAAAATGACCTTAACACACGGCCAAAGTACAACAGAGTGGTTTAGAATCAAGAACTTTAGAATGCCTTCGATGGCCCACTCAATCCAGTGGCACATCTGTGGCAAAACATGAAAGCTGCTGGTTCACTAACCATCTCCCTCCAACATGTCACAACTGGAGCAGCTTTTTCAGAAAGAATGGGCAAAGGCTGCAGGATTCAGATGCACAAAGCCGACAGAGACTTACCAAGGAGATCCACCACTGTAATTGCTGCCACAGAAGCTTCCATCAAGTATTGACAGTAGCGTGAATATATACAGTCAAGAGGTGTATGTTTTTGCTCTTAAGCTGTGTGCTACAACAAAAGTATTTTGCATCTTCACAGTGTTGAGTATCTTCTGCATATCAAGTAGTTCACAATGCCAACAAATCCATTTTAATTTCAGGTTGTAACACAATAAAGTATGCCAAAGGTGGGGTAAATGTTTCTGCAAGACACTGTATCTTATGCATTTGGGGAAAAAAAAAGCTTTGCTACCGTTCCATTAAAGCAAGTTGTACCCAATTCCTTCTGGCCTTTGAACCAATGTTACTGTAATCCCTAGTTTAAAGATGCATCTAATAATGACTAAGTGCAAGCATGTGGCTTTTTAAAAAAACCCCTACAGGATATAAGCAACTGAAGCTCACCTTTTAGTACAAGTTTTTATTATTTGTTTCTCGGTCAGTACATACAAATCAGGCATAGCTCCAAAGGAGTCTGAGATGAGGTTAGTTCACATGCGTGTTTTAAAAAACCAGTTTTGACAGTTTTGTTACAATGACAAGATTAAAAGCACAAAATCAGGGTTTTCCCCTCCTCATGCCTTATGTGGTAGTCAGTCACATATAAGATGAATGTACAAATTATGTTGCCGTACATGATATGTACAAGAAACTCTTGATAAAAGACACAGTGAGTCATTGCTGTCAAGTAATTAAAACCTCTGTGTGGCGTTGTATGCCTAGGGGGGCAACTTTCTACCCCTGCAGTTTTTAGCACTGTTGCCCCACGCGGTTGTTGTCAGATGCCATTGTGTACAGTGTGCGGCACCAATGCCACTGGCTCTGGCTGAGGCCAACCAGGAAGTTTCACTTGCTGTGCTCAGGGCTGAGGTTTTCTGGGTTCTTTGTGCTTGGGTGGGTTCCCGTGAGAGTGTGTACATATTGCTTTCGCTTCTGACAATGTCAAAGTACAAAAGGTTGAGCAACCCACAGGGAACTTCAACACAGCCTGAGCAAATGCAACCTCCCTGACTTTAAAAAAAATAAAAAAAAGGAGTTAGACTGCTTTTGGCAAAAGCTGAAATTAGATCCGTGAGAGAATGGCACAGCAGAACCTGTAGGTTAAAGAGCATTCAGCACCTGCATTTGGACCGATTTTGAACCCCTTCCCTTGATGCTTCTCCCTGCCTCCCAGCAGTCCCCACTGTGAGAGAGGGTGTCTCTCTTCCTCTCTCCAAACAGGAAGACAAGGGCAAAGGGGACCCCTCTAATATGGAGTGGCAAATCAGGATCTGTTTGTACAGACAGTGAAAATGGTGCTAGCAGCTGCTTCAGTGAGCAGCAGGTTTAGTTTACTGAACTTCTGTCACTGCAGGAGAAAGTGGACATCACTGAAGGGAAACTGTGCTAACAGGCTGTCAATAGGCACCTTCACTGGACCGCTCCGGAGCCACTGCTCCCAATTATATGTATCATCTTCAACCCAGTCCTATTTCCCTGTTATTTTTGTTCCCTTAACATAGTGAGAGAATAGAATGCTTGGAGTCAGACATTTTACCATACATGGAGAATGGAGTTAGGAGGACTGCCTTAGGAGGTTACTTGTTAATTTTGTTCTCATTTCTCCATTTAGGAAAAAAAAAATCAGTGCTAAAAACAACAAGTTGACCTGCAAAATATTCATACACACAGAAAACAATTCATACATACACATTAATAAAAATTCTGTAAAAAGATCAAAAACAAGATTATGTTCTTTGGATAGCCAATATAAAACACTGGAATAATAACAACAATAATAATAGCACACATAACAACAAAAATACGCAAAAGGATACTCCCTCCCACCCCATATGTTCCAAATAATACCTGAGGCCACTGCAGCAACATTTGCTGAATTTCTTGTTAATTTTAAGAGCAAGGAGAATACTGTGTGCGGATCTTGCATCATACCTCGCAAACGGGTGCTGTCATAAGCGGATGATGATAAAGAAGCATAGTGCCCAGCCAACCAGCCATAGGCTTGGTGCAGAGGCTTCTCCAGAGGAAAAATGACATTTACTTTAGTGGTTGATACTGCATTTGACTCAGAAATGAGGAGCATCTTCTGTGGTGACATGCACCCCACTGCCCTTTGATCAACGTACACCACACGTGTCTGTGTTTGGATTAACTTGTACAGTGTACTGGTCATATTATTTGCTCTAATAACATTAAAAGGAAGCCCAAACCACATCATCATCAATGATGGACAAGTGAGCTCCAAAGTCAGTGCAGGGGAAACGGAAAGGGGAGCTCCCAGTAAGCCTGTGCACACAGGTGTGCCAGCGCAAGCCCCTCATTCCACCTCCCCACAGCCCCCCAAAAAGGTCAGAGAAGACAATGCACTGGTGGCAGGAAGGAAGAGGAGATGGTGAGTCAGAGAGAAGACGTCGGAGTAATTAACTCTGTGGATGGAGGCACTGGGTACCATCCTGGGTGTGCAGGAGAGGAAGACTAAAGACTGCAAGAAAAAAGCTGCCAGCTGAGCACAAGGGTTAAGCCCCGGAAGACTATCCAGAGTGCCCGCAGGTCATCTTCTTCAGCTGACTCGCTCTCCGAGTGCCCTTCTCTGCCACTTCACCATGGAAGCAGCCCCATTTCCTGCAGTCCACGTGCCGTCCGTGTTGTCAGGTTCCGCTATAGCAACATGGTTTGTGGATTCTGCTCTACTAGCTGACTGCTAGGCCGGAAATTCGTGGCCGTGCTGTCGCCTGTGATCATCATTAACCGAAAGATAGGTGGCTCGCATACTTGGAGAATACTAGGAAGAGAAGAGGTGATGGGAGAGAAATTAGGGGAGAGACATTACACACTGCAGCTTCGACCACCAGCTTATTGACAGAGGGTGCTTCCAGGTGAAGGATTCCTAACCTCTCCTGTCAGAAGACCCTGTGCAGCTGTTCTGTCATTTTTCCTTACTGGTTTTTCTGTCATAAGAGAAAAAGCAATGGAAAAACGCAGGACGAACTGAGTTGAAGACACCATCGCCTGAATCCCCTGTAAACACTGTGACTGAGGCAGGACAAGGGTAGGATCAAATCTTCATCTGGAAGCACGGAAATACAAGATGACTCCAAAAATGCCTTCATAAAAGCCAACACAATATTAATAGCACAATTAAATCAGAACAACATTTTCACAAGGGTTGTTCGAACTTTTCCCTAGGCTTCATAGGCACAGAAAAAAAAGCAGAACAGCATTGGCCTTTAGCAGGGTGTGTGGGGAATGAAATGAGGTGACAACAGAAAGGCGTTTGGAAAAGGAAAGCTAGAATGATGGCAACACCTTTGGCAAGGTTAGTTGCGGGAAAGGAACACATGCACACAGCATTTGGCAAAAGAAGTGGGCTGGACAAGAGAACAGTCTGTCAGGGAGTGTTACCCTGTGGACAAACAAAAGAAAATTCATTTGTTTCACACATACCCATTTGTATTTGTTTTGGGTCACTAAGAGCTACTTGAGAAATTCAACTTTTTTTAAAAAAAGGTAGTACATTCCTTCCCTCAACCCTCCTCCAAATGATAAGAATCTTCCTTGAACTAAAAGTGTTCAACTTACATTTCCCCCTTTTAAATACAGACACTATTTACTGCTATGCCTCTCAAATTTAAAGGGAAGTTAGGAGGTATTAAAAAAAACCTATTATTTTAAAACTCGTGTTCTTTTCCTGAAAATGTAATCTTCTGTTTCCAAAGTAAAGGTCCCTACAAAGTCTCAGATGAAGAGGATGGAAAAAGGCTAAGATTCTTTATCTGTTTGCTGCTATTGCACTGTGGAAAGATTGGGAAATGCCAATGCATCATTAGAATCAAGGTCGTTTGAAACGTCCAAGCTAGCATGTTACAGTTTTAGCATGAACAGGAGGTTACCTGGGCATCCCAAGGCATATGAATTACAGGTAAATGTGGATTAGGTGTGGTTCATTACAGCATGGATGTGCTTGGGAATTCCTTATGTGTGATAACACTGTAAGATCTAGGCTTTTACCTCTTAGTTTAAACCAAGGGTAGGCTGACTAGTTTTCTTTCACTAATATCTCCATAGTCTAGGATGCGTGTTTCACTTAGGGACTCTTTTTAATAGCTAAGGCACAGCTAGACTGTCATCCTGCGTATTGTACACTCTTGCTTAAGAGAAGTACCAACTTTCAAGAACAGCCCAAGGTCCACTAAGTGCAAGATATTCTGCAAGAAATCCAGCAGTCAATAGGTGCCAGATGATTCAATGAAAACAGCCCAATGCACTGCCATCTGCCTGTTCATACATATACAATTAGAACCAATTCTAAGTTCATTCCCAGATGATGTGTTTTCACATAAAAAATATGCTATGGTTCTAAATCCACTGGGTGTGATCTTTGTATACTTCCAAGGTACTGCTTTTGCTGCAGGGATGTCAGTAATCAGTGGAGCAGAGTGAATTGAGCAATGAATGGTCCTGGATCAGAGAGACCCGAGTCCAAAGCATGCTCAGCTAGGAAGCAGCCTGGGTAATTCGTTTGTGGGCCAATAGCTCTATGTCTGCCCTACATCCCAGGGTTCTTGTGAAGATAAAGCAGAGTGGGGAAGAATCAGGATAGCTACTCTGAGCAATTTAGACAGAAATGTAGACAGTCAGTTAAGCAACCAACCATGTCTTTTGTTTCTGGGAAAGGTCATTTTTCTCTTTCCTAGTAGATCTTTTGCTATTGGGGACTGGATGAGGTTATTCCTGCAAATCTTATCCACATTTGCTTGAATCAGTCCCACTGAAAACTATGGGATTAAATCCTGAGTAGATATTTATAGGGTTGTATAGAAGTGATACAGGCAAATAGCTGCTATCTAGGCAAGGTGTCATTAGCAACTTCTTCCTCTTCTCATACCTGTTACATTTCTGCAAAAATGCATTTCTGAATAATTCAAATAAGAATGAAAAAGTATTCAGTAGGCAAATGTTCTTAGCCCAACTCTACAGTTTTTGTTTGGAGTTTGGCTGCTGTTGTTTCCTTTTTAAAAGGCTGCATAGCTCCCCATTTCCTGCTATCCAGTTCACAAACACAGACTTAAGCATCTTTTTAGACAAACCTATTCACTCTGTACTACTTCATCCCCTCAGGAACGTTTAGGAAACCTCTAAGGAACTGGAAATTGTATTTACTGTTCATTTTCTGCCTTGGTAAAGCCAGTTCCAGAATGCTCAGCTCAGAAAAGAGAGTGTAAGAAAAAAGGAGAGGCAAATAGAATGGCCCTTCTGCCTTCTAGAATGGCCCTTCCCCATTACGTAGGCTCGGGGAAGAGATGTGATTTCAGACTAGTGGTGCTACTGGAAGTACAACATTAAGGAAGAGTTGTGTGTGTGTGTGTGCGTGTGCGCGCACACGTGCAAAAGAAAATAGTATCTTCCAAGTCACAGTATTAAGGAAAATTATTCACAGTCTATTTTTGTGGAACTCAAAAAAGCTTGAAAGCCTTTCCTTGGGGATATTTAAATCCTATTTAAATTGGACTGTTCAGTATATGGTGGGAGGGGTTTGAATTAATTTGGGTGCATTTAGTTCCATCATAATCCTGGAGCTTTTGCAATTGCAAACTCTGCAACAAGGAGATTAAAACCTCCCAAGCTGGCATAGTGCAAACCATTAAACACCTGATTTAAAAATAGCTCCTACAAGAGATGGAGCAATTGTCACTAAGACTTAAAGATGAGAGAGTGGCAGCTTGTAATTCGAATTTCACCTGTCCTGTTCTTCCTGATTTATTATCCAGCAGACATCCTCTCTACTGAGTGGCAATGTCTACATTTCTGTGGTTTGCATTGTGCAGCTTTGTCTGTCTCTGCAAGAATCAGAAGACCCTCAGATATTTTTTCTTTAAGGCAAGGCCATATCTGTACTTGAGTATTCACACCAGTACAATGTACATCTAATTTGCATATAGGGTGCACCAGCAGTATGAATCTGTCTCCAGTGCTGATGAAACCAGCTGTTACATTACCATGCAGAATTCAAATGCACACTCAGGCCAGCTTCAGATGTGACACTTGAGCAAAGCACTTGTACTCCTTGTTCCCTTTCTATCTCCCTTTCGTCCAAAATAAAATTTATGACCTGCTCTGGCCTGTCAGACATGCATACTGCCTCTGCAATGAAAGGCTCTGCCTCTCTGAGGCATGGCAAATGGCCAAAGGTCTACTGCAGATGGAAAAACAGTACGAGGGGAGGCACTGGGGCTTTCTATTTCCTCTGCATCAGTGTCACATTTAAAGCTGCTCTTAGTCTAGTCATTCTCAGAAGGTAGTGATGTATTTTATTTATTACACCTCAAGTCAGAGGACGCATTTCCCAATTATTTTCCTACCCTTCTTAATCCATTTAAGGCTGGGGGCATGACCACTTCGGGGCTTACTTGAAATCCATATTGGTATTTTTTGGTGATTGCCTATTTATTAAGCGGTTAGTGAAATGTACCTGAGGATTTTAATCAACTGAGTTAATAAATAAAAGACTGCAGTGATAACATTGCTGCTTGAGCACCTCCATCATAGGTCCAGCTCTGAATGTAGCTTGTTTGCTTCTAAATAAATAAGTAAATAAGTAAAAATAAAAAAAATGGGTTGTATTCCAGGTCTTCAAACTAAACTCCAAAAGACCCCTAGTAAAAAGATGGCACATGATACATGGTGTTATTGTCACGAACCCCTCAGTGCGTAACTTTTTACTATTTGGGGGAGTTATTCAAATGGGCATTTTATAGTGAAGTTATACATTATACACATTCCTCTTACTACAACATCTCCATTTGAATAACTGATTAGATAGCCATATATTCCTGTTAACAGAACAGCAGATGAACGAAGTACAAAAGCAGCTGTCTGGCATCCTAGAGTTCCTTTTGCAAAGGGACATGCTTGTTTACTGTACTTCCTGATCTTTGTTTTTTCACTTACTCCCAATGGAGCTCTTTAATCTTCTAGAAGAGTGGACACTGCCCACACACTGCCATAAACACCAACGTATTTACACTGGCATAGATGTTTGTGGGCTAGAGATCACCTCAACACGAGCAATGATCCTCCCTTGGTTGGATGGTAGTGTTGAGATGTTATTAGAAAGCAAAGCTATTGGTCCTCATCCCAGCCGTGCAAGAAATAGATGAGTCAGACAGGCAGAGCACAAGCGTAAATGAAATCTAGCCAAAAGGATAAAAGATGCAAAGTGCATCTGATCCAGTCCTAAAGGGTGATGGGTAATGTACATAAGCACCTAGAGTGTCAGGGGGCTACCCGTGGCCAAGAGGCAGCCCTTGGTCACTGTCCATGTGGCCTGGAACCCCCAACCACTTTTCCCCATAGCACAGCTGATCTGGATCACGTGAGTGGCAAGGAAAAGACATCTGCTCTGATGCTGCTAAAAACAATTGAACATCTTGATCAGGATTGCTGGGTGGATAGCATTTAATTCTTCCTTACCCCAATCTGGACACTGTGGTGGTCTTGATTAGAACTGTGATGAGCAGGCAGGGTTTGAATGGGATTGCTGGGGGTGAGGGAGCTTGTGGCCTTCAGGAACACAAAGACTTACATCCTTGACCCAGAGAGACACTGACTTCCTATAGTCAGCTTGCTTACCGCTCCCAATCCCAACTGAGCCCAAATCTGATTAGCATCGAACCTCCAACTCAGAGGGTCTCTCTTTGACTCTTCAAACATTTAAGTGGTTGGGAGAGGATCACACCCATTTGGATTAGAATGTTTACCCTTGGTGGCTCTAAATCTTCCGTAAGGGGCATTGGAGTCGAGCGCCGTGGCTCTCGCGTGCACTCCTGAGCCTTCTGCATGTGGCCTCACTGTACAGTAGCATCCTTCCCTGCCCACTTTTGCCTGCATCCATGTATGCAGTGTGTCTGCCAACTGAGGGAAACACTTCCTGCATCTGGCACAGCGGGCGCTTTCCATGCAAGTTTATCTGTTTGTCTTTAATTTTCCACAAGACTCTTTATCGCTCTTGTTGCAATAAGGCTCCCCCTTGGGATTCATTTACATAGCACAGAGGGAAATCCCCAGTTGGGTAAACTCAAATGAAACAGGTGGCTTTTAGATTTCCTCACAACAAATTCTTAGGGCTTTCCTCTGACCGACTACTTAAAGCAGAATTGGCTGAAAAGTGTCTTTTTAAAAAATTCTATTCATATCACAGGTTCTCAGCATGATGAAGGTTAGGATCATTTGGCCTGCAGACTATTTTTTTAAGAAATAATTAAAAGTACCCTACACAAAATATACGCAGTAGGCCCCAACAATGAGTCATCTCATGGGAGAAATCTTAACTGCCCCAAGTTCTGGGGGGAAAGCTTTGCTTTTATCACAGTTCCGTGCTGGGCAAAGCTGTGAAAGACCACAAGTCTCACCTGGTGCAATCAACTAAGCCTAAAGACACCTTGTAATAGAGGCCTGGCATTTCTAAAAGTCCAGACTGCAAATATTCTATCCTTTATTAGGATGGGTGGAATTCACAACACAGGGAAATATATGATGAAAAGTCATCAGGAGGGTGGTGGAGGAAGCCCCAAAACAAACTCTAGTCCCAAACCATGAAAAGCTACAACAAACAAAATGAATAAGTGACTTACTCTTGAAGGACAACATAGCTCCAAAACAGTTGATGCAAAAACAAAGCAAATGTTAGCAGGCAATATGTATTTTAAAGAAACATTATGCCAAACTTAAGAGAGCACTTTTGCTTATAGTGAAATAAGAAAAACTTGAAAGAGTTATTGAAAAAAGCAAGTGAAAAATATACACTCATCTTCTTCTAGAGGCTTAGAACATAAAACCCTTTTCTTAGAAGGAAGACAATTAAATAAAATGCATACAGCAGAAGTAAAAAACATGGCACTGTGTGACATGGTTAAACAGGGGGTGAGGGAAGACAATGCAAACCACAGACATCAGCAAGCAACATCTGCCAATGTTTGCAAGACAGTCACACAGAACAGTCTGCAGATATGACAACCGGGCTTAAATACCTATGTCATAACATGAAACTGCTCTTTACTCTATTGCAACAAAGCTGCCCACAGCTGGCACTGCAAGGATTTTGTCTCAGTGGCGTGTTCCCTCCACTGTTGCCTCTGGGTGTTGCAGCTCAACAGCTATGGGAACTTGAGATGCCAGCCTCGGGAAAGGCAGGACCTCCTGCGGCAGTTTTCACCTTCCAGCAGGTATGAACCCCTGGGTTCAGGACTGTCATTTTCTGACAGGCCTGCATTCCGAGAGGAGAAAAAAATACTGCTCTTTTCCTCATCTCTAACATCAGAAACAAAACTATTTTGTCTTTTTACAAAAGCAGGAGGCTTTCTAGTCCCAATTGTTGTTAAAAATGTGTTTGTCTATATAGAGGGTGTGTTAGTAAAAGCAGAGGGAATACAGGGTCTCTTATAAAAATGATTTGGCCTCCGACGCCCACCGTACCGTGGGGGGAGGCGATCCTCTTCCAATCAGTGGGACGTTTTCATAGCGTGGGTTCCCACCAAAGAGCACAGCTTGGTTCCTGCAGGTAGAGAGGAGTAAGATCAGGAGGACAGTCTATTAAAATTAATGCTGTTGTGAGACTTTGGCTTGGGAATATCCCTGTTACTTTCTTGCTGAAGCAGCCAACTCCCATTGCGGCACGGGTGCAGGGAAGGAAGACGGGAAATAAGAGATGCTCACTCTGTGATTTGGCTGCTTGAGAAGAACAGTGTCAAACCTGTTACTCTTTCCATCAGAAATAATGCGGCCCATTGAAGAATACTGTTGGTCTATGCAGGGTGGCTGACTGTCAGCTGCCATCTGTTGAGGCAGCCACTGCAAGATTGTCAGCAGAGCAACGAAAATCTTGCCCCCTGCTTTGCCCAGTGGTGCTCTGAGGAAGGGGGAGGGAGGAGAGCAGACGGTCATGTGCCCACACTTCACTCATCTCTCGTTGGCTTGGCCCTTGTCCCTGTAACCCTCAGAGGAGAAGGCAGTCACACCTGCACCAGCTCCTCCAGTTCCTCACGCACCTCTTCCCTCTGGGAGTGCTGCTGGTGGCTGGCGGGCAGGCTGACAAGGGCTGTGGGACGAGAGAGAGGGGGCAAGGGGCACGCATGCTCCTCTCTTCCCTCCCCTCGCACAACGCATGGAGGGATTCTTGGTGGCTTGCTAGAAGTCCGCCAGCTACAGACAAATCAGCTGCAATCAACATCTTACCCCTGCCTGGGCTAGTGATTCTCAAACATTAACCTGACAGGCCTTTCAAAGGGGAAGGGGTGGTGGAAGAGAAAGGATGATGGTCCTATGTGCACCTTCGGATGACTTCTCTGAAGCCACTCAGTGGAAGACTGGCAGCTCAGAAAGCAGCACTCAGATGTTGTACCACGTGGAAGCTATGCAGTGTGGCACACTCCTTTCATGCCCCTAGTGGAATCAACTTGCCTAAAAATCTCCCCCATTCGTCAAAAGCTTTTTGCACATGGTCACATAGTCTTAGGCAGCACCTTCTATACAAGGACTTACTGTAGCATGTCAGAAACAGTGCATCTGAATCCATTTCCACCTGTCCCTGATCTGGAAGAGGAAGACTAAGGAGTGCTTCTGAAGTTACAGTTGGGGGGAAAAAACCATGCAGCAAAGCATATCTCATTTTTTTCACTTCTAAGAGCACACAATGAGAAACATTTTGAGCACAACACTTTCAAAACTGGCACATGCTTTAAAGAAAAGCAAAAATTTGAGTCATTAAAGATTCTAATCCTACAGTTTCACTTAGTGATCTTTCTAAAGATGAAGCATCTTCATTTCCAGTCACACTGCTTGCCATGGCAAGGGTGCTGCCACCACCTGGCAAGCCATTAATTAGCTCCAGCCTGTCTCCAATCTTGGACCTGCACAGGTGGGCAGGGACCCTCCGGGCAGTTCTGCAATGATGCCCTCTCACCTCCAAGGCAGGGTGGCAGGGCCAGGACTAGTCATTCACCTGCTCCTCGGTGGAGATGCCTTCAATGCTGTGCCCCTGCAGCAACCCAAAGGGTAAATTCCTACCTTCCCGCTCACGCAGCCAGGACTCTTCGGTTTTACGGTATCATCAAGCATAAACATACACTGTATCCCTACAAGATTTGTTTTAAAAAGCTTCCGGCCAGAATAATCAGGCATTAAGGCAAATGCAGGTAAGAGATACTCTTCAGTCATCTGGGAATTCAGACCCTCTTCTAGAACTCCCCACACATCTATTCCAGCAGGAATCCCACCCACCTGCCAATAGCTAAGGCAAACCATGATTAGAGCCACCTGATCAAAGACTGTCAGCAGTGGACTCTGCTGCTGATAAATCTGAAGTCCACAGGACGTGCTACACAAGGGACGTGTGACTGCTGCCAACCTACACCTCCACTCCTGGTACCGTACAGCTAAAGGAAAAGTAGCGGAATCCAAAAGTAGCGAAATCTTACCCAAAGTCTCCCCTCCCCAGTCCCTCTTCACTGGCTGCTGCCTTCTGGGGGAAGAGGAACCGTGCCATGACTGGTCATCTGTCATGGGATCCTTCAAGGGATGCCTGAAAAGCTTGGCACTAGCCACACATGCCTTCCAATGGAGGGGTGAGCAATGTGGTCACCACAGGCACCGGTGTAGCCTGACGCTTTCCTGGCAGCCCCCAAGGTACCCTACCCATCCTACTGAAAAACAAAAGCAGTCAACTCTTTTTCTTCTCAGCTGTGGGTACAGGGAAATGATTGAGAGCACTGGGGCTCAGGCCCCACCTCTGCCTTGCACTCAGTCTTTTGGGGGCCGCCATTTGTCCTTTGTGCCCATCCATACATCTCATGGCAGCCACCTGCAAGTGGGGCACAGGACACATTCTCAAATAGCCAAATGTGTCCACAGATCCAGAAGGGCTGTCTACCCTGCTCTGAGGTGTAGAAGTGAGGACTTAAGCCCCTTCCTTTACTTCCCTTTACCTGCTGTCCTTCCAATCCCCTGGGAACCAGCACCCTGGCAAACCAATCAAACACATGGGCCTGGAGGAGCTGAGTGGACAAGACTTCCCTCACCACGTTGCAGCCTGATGGAAACGTGTCAAAACAGAAAAGGCACATGCTTCTCATTCCCTAGAAAATGAATTGCCAAATATATGAAGGTGGACAATGTCTTTTCAGTAAAAGAGGACGCCAATTTAGATGTTAAAAAGGACAGAAAAAAAGCACAAAACAAAAAAAAAAAAAATCAAATGTTTGCAATACACTAGTCAACAACATCTGGTCTAGAAAGCAGTATCCCTTCATCCATTTTATCCCTCATAGAAACAATTCTTTTTCACACCTCGTTTAGCTTATCAGCATTTCAAGGACAGCATCCACAGGCTTTCCTTTTGTGAGAAAGGCTGCCAAAAGCACCTCTTGTAAGAAAGTTTTGCAACATTTACTTTGTTCCTGTTATTTTTTTTTTTTTTAAATGAAGGCCATTTCCAGTTCTCCACTCTTTCAGATCCCAAGCAGGATCAACACCCGCCCGCCCTACATATCTGAGCCTATCAGGGTCACTGGGTTGCCAGTTATTGAGTGGGGAGGATGGAGAGACGTCGTGATTCTCAAAGAGGGATGGAGCGATGGAAGCAAGTATGGAAGGCAGCATGAGACCCAGCAGGAGGAGGTGGTCCAGTTTACAGGGAACTAACGGAGGGAGGTGCACCTGGGCACCCCAGGCACCCAAGGAGCTTAAGAGAATCTCCACAGTGGTCTTGGGCGCCCCACAGAACTGGATGTGGGTGCAAGTGCTGCTGCTGCCATCCCCGGCATCTTGTACTTACATGTACTCAGACACAGGAGCATTGGAGATGGTCTGCGAGGGAGGCTGGAGACTCGTCTGACTGCCCAGGCTGCTACTGTAGCTGCAGAAACTACGAAGCTGTCCACGGTTGGGGTTGTGGGCGGCAATGCGGCGGGCCTGGGGATTGAAGGGGTCTTCCTCATCTATGTCGTCGTAATCCTGGTCTCTGGGGAGAAGGGAACTCAGTCCAACAACGTGGGTCTGGGACGCCCACCCCACCTGGCCATGCCCAGCAGAAGGTCACGCGGTGCCAAGACAAATGTTTCATCTTGGTGCTAGGAAAGAGTTAGCTACACTGGATACACTGGTGAAATAAGGAGACAGGACACAGGTTTGGGGAAAAGGGGAAGGATTTGGTATTTCAGAGGGTGCTGCATTCCCTTTTTTTGTGAGGTCTCTCATGTATGCCTCAGAAATGACCAGAAAGGAAAGAGCCATCTCTGAAAAAGGGAGTTTCTCTGCTCTTGTTCCACAGCAGGAAACCCAAGACCCCACGTTACCATGGAAACCCAACCACAAGGCCTGGTTTGTGCGTGGAGCAGGAACACAGAGAAGCCTACAAATATCACCGTGCTCCCTTCACCATTTAAAAAAAAATACTGGAAGTAGGACACGAAGCTTGCAAGTTGCAGAAATTGACACTTCAAGCAGTAAGAATACCTGGGAGGGGGTATGTAAGAGATGATGGCGGGGGGGTGTGTGTGGAAATCTTGCTGGGCTGCTGCCCTCCCACATACATGCCTGCCCGCCTCCTCTTACTGCTCTTCCTCATCCCCCTTCCACCACCCCGCCCCCAGTCCAGCAATTGATGGACAACTGCAGGGACCTACGCGAGGCTGCAGCTCAGTAACAGACTGAGAAGCCCTGCAAGTCGCCTCCAGAAGGACATGAGGGAACATCACGGTTTCTTCGAAAGTGCAGCAGGGCACGACGCCTTTCTGCTCTTTAAGAAAAGGAGGCAGTGGAAGCTGAGTTTTTGTGTAGCTGAGAATATGAACTTTTGTATTTATGCTGTTTCCCATTAGAAAAATTCTGGGAGGTGTTCACGCATCAGGGATGGGGTTGCTGCACCAGATTCTTATCAAGTTGAAAATCTTGAGGAACATTACCAGGTAACTTTAAGTCAGGCTAGCTGGACTAGGCTGCTAGTCTAACTAGAAAATCTGGGACTGTTCTGCAGGCTCTTTCACGGAAATCCTTCATCTGCAAAGTTCTAGCATGTGCTGTGGTAGGATGAAGAGATCTAGAACCCACGATTCTGGTTACTGTTTCAGAGGAACCAGAATACAGAGACATGCAATGCCAATGGCTCGTGCGCTTTCCCCCATTTTTTAAACCCTCCGTAATTAGCAAGGCTACTTGCTCCAGTGTGTGGAAATTCCTGGAAAACTAGCTCATTTTACCTGTGGGCTAAGTGCCTCCAGGCACGCGGCACAGCACAGATGATGGTGGAGAAGGACACAGCAGCCAAGAGAGAGAAGAGAATGAGGTAGAGCAACCCTTCCACACCATCGTAGCAGATCCCGATCAAGGCATCCAGGTAATCCTTTAGCAGGCGGAAGGGAAACACAGAGAGCAGGGGAAGTGCCAACAGGTAGCAATCACCCACGCCCCCAAAGCGCGCAGTGCCTTAGGCTGCTTACTTTGTGCAGACCCCTGCAGTCCAACATGGCAGTTAGCTGGTGGAGGCTGGTCTCGGAGTAGTTCAGTAGCTGCTGTATGCCAAGCAGATCTTTCTGCAGCGAAGGGGAAGCAGTGATGGAAGTGGGGTATTCACAGTGAAGAAAGGAAGTGACTACATTTCCAATAGTATGGCCTAGCAGACATCCTGGAATCGATACATTCCCCAAATACAACCAGAAATAGAGACAAAACTAGACTGTGTAGCTCAGTCCAGTTCTGCAAACTCCTATGAAGTAGCCGGGACTCTTCTGCTTGGGCTGAGGTTTGCTACTAGCATCTCTTAAGTCCAACATTTCCCGACCTGGTGGCCTTCAGAGGTGTTGGACTACAGCTCCTAGAATTCCCCATCCATCATGCTTCCATAGCTCTATTTGGGCATTATCCCTTTGGGCATTATGCAATCAATGACTGCATGAGCTACAGAAAGGGGCTGTCTTTGCTGTCCCAGCATGGTGGGGGGGGGGGCACATATGCCGAAGGGACCCTGCTCCACACACATGGGCCACCCCTTGATTTAGCACCACATCTACACAGGGTTCCATACTGCAGAGCAGCCTATGCTGGCCTGAGCTCCAGCTATGAGTCCGGAAATGTGCTCTACGGTTGTTCCAAAACATGAGGGATCATGACTCATGATGTTGGAAAAATCTGCAATGGACTTGAATGTGTTTGAATTTCTAAGGATCCGACCTAAAGATTCTGCAGCAAGCCACCTTTCCTGACTCTGCAGACTGATAGTTTTGTGCAAATTTAGTCACAGAAAAATATGAAAAACAGAAAGCCACTGATCAGAATGTACATTTCTCCCATAGGCTGCAGGATGAAAATACACATTATAGGGAGATATACACACACTGGGAGTGCAAATTTGTGCTAATGTGTATGAACACATTTCTGCAAAATTGAATTCCATCAATAAGCAAACAACAGAACAAAAGGCGCCTGATAAGCTGCAAAATACAGGCAGAACAGAAATTACATCTATACATCCCTGGGCATAACCAGGTTAACTGCAAGCTGGTTTGTCCTATAAAACTCCTTCCTCTGTGTCCTGAAAAATGGTTTCCTGTTGCTATGGCAACTTGCCTAATTTCTTCTCAAAGCCCTTTTGCCACATCACATAGCACCCATCACCTTGATGGTTCATTCCTTTTGTTGTTTGCTATACAAGCAGCCTGATTACAAGAGAACCCAACATAACTCTATACTGAATATACGTCATTTCCCATACTGCCAACCCAGGCTTTGCTCAGTTTTGAAAGCAGACAATGCAAATGTCCTTAAACCACCATGTCTAAACATACACAATGTATACAATACAGAAGCCTCCATAGTAAGATCACTGTACTCTTCTTCCATAGGAGTACACAATGTTGTGCTGTTACCTCCGCTGTGGGGAAAAGGGGCACAGCAAACTGCATGAGGCCCTGGATCTGGATCTGCATGGTTGTGAGGGAGCGCTGGTAGATGGTCAGGGCCTGCAAGCAAGGGATAAGGAATGTAACACATCAGCTCTTTTTTTAATTTGCAGGGCTTTGGATCCCAGATCAGGGGGATCTCGACTATCTTGCATTAAGCAGACAGATATTAGCCCCTTCCAAATTCTTGGAACCAACACCCTGCTTACTTTCACAGTAACATGTCAGAACACCGGACACCCCTTTCCCTATGTGCAAACTGTTCTAAAAAAGGACTCTCTCAAATCCATTTCATGGTTTATTCTGAGTGAAGGGATCTTTCCACAGAGAGGTCTAGAATGCTGTGACATACAGAGGTTTAGAGAAGGCACAGTCACATTGGTTTCCCAAGGTAGCACTGCAGATAGATTTTGCAAGGAATTGTCAAGGCCAGACCAGAAAGTTCCCTTTTTTAGACAGACATCACTAAAAGAAACAGTGCTCACAAACCCTCCCTACCCACTAACAGAACCTATCATCTAATGCCAAGCTCATTTACAGAATGAAAATATTCCTTCCTTTCCCCACCCCAAGTGTGCTGGAGACAGAGCCCCAGTGTATGCACTCAGACAGGTACCTTACCTGTTGGAAGGGGTTGGTCAGACTTTGGCTGCAGTACAAATAGTACTGGACGATCTCTGCAAAGCGAAGTACAAAGGGGAGAGAGCCAGAGGTTACTGTGTGACACCTACAGTAGTCCAACGCAATCTTAGCAGGTCCTAATTCAAACTGGGACTGCATCGTGTTGGATGCAACAATGCTGGGGCCAGACAACGTTGTACAGAGTACCTCTGCCCAGGACCGTCGAAGGCGAGAATGTGCAAGAAGGCCAAGGATATAAGATGAGTCCTTCTGGATCAGACCCAGGGTCCCTTTAGTCCAGCACGCTGTTTGCACAGTGCCCAACCGTCTGCCGGTGGGAAACCTAAAAGTAGGACACGAGTGCAACAGCACTACCCCCACCCCACATTCCCTAGCAACTGGGGTACAAAGGCAGTCTGCCTCTAACATTGGAGGCAGCATATTTAGCCATCAGGACTGGAAGGCACTGATGTCGTTCATCTAAGAATTATGCCAAACTCAAGACCGGAATGAGAAGGGAAGCAAAGGCAGAGTGTTTTCATTCCAGGGGCCACAGAGGAGAGAATGTGGTGTGAAAGAACGTGGCTTTGCAAGAATGGTGCATTAACAGTGCAAATTTCATGTCGTACTCACAAACATGTCTCTAAAATTCCTGCCTGCTCCTTATGGCTAATGCAAAGGACATTCACAGAGAATGACTGGCAAATGGGGCAGAGGGGGATTAATCTCCCCAATTCCACCTTAACCCTTCCTGCATCCACTGATTCACCCCCAACAAGTACCCTTTCCAAACAAGTAGTTCTGCCTTAAGAGAAGGAAAGTGAAATCCGAACTCTCAGTTTCAGAAAAATACAAAGATTTGGAGTCTTTGGCAAATACTGACAGAAGGGAACTCTGGCCACAATTTCAGATAGCCAGGAGTGATCTATGCCCCATGTACTCTCCTTATTCCACTACATAATGCGCCATCATTTCATCTCTCCTTCCTCATCACTAAGCCTTGAACCAAAATATTTGAAGTTAGTCAAAATTCATCTCAACATGGTAATCAAAGTTTAGGGTTATGCAAAATGGTCCAATCTGTATAATTTATAATCTGCATACAACCTGGCTTTTCTCGGAGGAGAATGTGCTGGGGATGCCTAAACCCCTGTGAGGGGAATGATGCATTAAGAATCTCAAGGGGAAAGGCTGCATCTTTGAATTTGTGCTACCCAAGGAGTAGCACAGAAGCTAGTCAAGCACAACTGACCACAATGCTTATCAGTAGCTGAGAGGCCATTAGGGAGGTTTCAACAATTCTCTTCACTTCCCCATTTATCAGCTGCAAAAATGAAATGGGTAGCAGAGGATAGGGGATTAGCTGGGGAGTGGGCTGAAAAAGCATCCTTCTTAACAAAGTTGAAAGTTCGTTTGTTCATTCATTCACTCAAGCTTTTGTATCCTGCCCTTTACAGTGTCTCAGGGCAGTGAAACCAAATGCAACTGCTGGTACAAGCACAAGCGCAACAGTGGGCACTCCTGCCATGGCAATCAATGCCTGTTCTCTCTCCATCAAAATCTGCCCAGGAGCTCATCTGCATACATTAGGTTTAGAGAAGGAATACCCACGTGGGTTATGAAGACTTTTCCATGCCTGCTGGTCTCCAGCTGTTGTGGACTATAATTCCCACTATCTAAGCTGGCTGGGGCTGATGGGAGTTAAAGAGCCCAAATGGGCACCAGGTTAGGGAAGGCTATGCCAGGGCCCCCCTTGAAGAGCAATCACTACTTATGCAGTGCAGTGACAGGGGCTACAAACTGCAGTTTCTCTAGCTAAATCTCGCCAAGGCAGGGCTTGCCTGCACAACACAAGTGGTGCCAAAATATATGGTCTTACCTGCACTGAGGTCCCCCTTCGTTATATTCAAGATGAATTTATCTGGGGCCATGCAGAAGTCACTGGTACCCTGTGAGAATCAGAATTTTCAAAGAAGAGCAACCAGGGTGACCAGAACAAGGGCTGCAAGAGGTCCCACACCCAAGGCTTAGAAACTGGCTTTAGCATGAATGCAAAACCTGCACTGGTAGAACTGGCATCCAACTGTAAAATCTTGAGGCTTCCTGCGAAGGTGGATTTAAATATTACTCCAGCCTTATTCCTGAATGAACAACACCCATACAATTCTGCTTTGGATTTTATGAATGAAAGCTCCTGCAGCCCAAACCAAACTTTTTGGGGTGGTGGATGCAAGCTGAATGATCGGGCAGCTGCCATGTTAGTACAATGCCTCCTGTTCAAAAGGATCTCCTTGATAAGAAAGTGGAACAGGCTACTTTGTCAGCAGCAAGGAGAGAACTTGATACCAGCCAGTCCCCACAGCTAAGTGCAGAAGATATGCAAGCTTAAGCCCCACCTGGACAATGCACAATGACAGCATATCAAAGAGAGCCAGGGTATTTGTGCAGCTGATAGCACTCAAGGCCAGCTGCAAGTTGGCTTTCCCTGTACCAAATGCGGCCTGAAGCTGAGCCATCTGTCAACCTAAGGAAACATACCCAAAATCACACACCTCAAAAACCAGACCCTCTGAGATGCTGAGATTGTCACTGCAAGCATGTTAGTAACAAATGATATAGAACTAAGAGACTGTGTTATTCTGGAAACACAAATGCAAGGAGGGTTGCAGGAGGATCAAACTCTTTGCTCTACCTTCTGTGCATCTAAACATCAACTACATGTGCTGGAAAGCTCAGATTAAAAGGACTCCAGTTACTGGCTGGGGCTATTTAGCGTGACAGGAAGCACACAAGAGGAATACAAGCCATCACGATGCACTGAGAACAGCTATAGGTTCAGCTCTCAGAGCAAGCTCAGCGTTAACATAAAGGGAGGCAGGAAGCAAACAGCTCTGTCTCAGTCACTGTGCTTACCACTGCCACCGAAACATCTGCTGCAAAGGAAGCCCAGCTGAGAATGAGCATGAAAAGACCACAACACAGCATCCTGTGGACAAAAGGAAAACAGCAAGAGGGGAGAAGTGAGGTTAACTGAGCAAGAAACCCCACCCTCACTTCGGCCACTCCAAGGAACGGGACAGATCAGGACCCCCTACTCTGAGGCTGAAGACGGAGCACCAACCTTGGAGGAGGAGATCAGATTTAAGAACTCTCCTCCCTGTCCCCATGGGAAGATCTCCAGTGCTCACTTCCCTCATGCTGAAGCTCGAAAGCTGCGAGAGGGAAACGGTGGGTGGATCAGGAGTCCTCCTGGGCAGAGCAATCACTTCGGGACACACATTATCCAAAGTCCTCCCACTCCTCCACCATGGCCCCCAATACAGGGGAACACGAAGACCAGCCTGGCTTGGGAGCACCATAACTGAAGGAACACCTCTCCAGGCGTCTCCCTACCTGGACCTTAAGAAATGCCCCTGGGGCTTTCCTCCAAACGCCACCTCCAAGGGACGCCCAGAAAGAGGAGGGCCTTTTCAGTGGAGCCCCTCCAATTGTGAAATGGTCTCCTCATGGAAGCCCGCCTGGCACCACCTTCGCCACCTTTCTAGTATCAGATTAAAATTTCTTTCTGTTCTGAGGACTTCAATGGCATATGATGGGTTATGTCAGCTGTTTTAATTAAGTCTAGTTTTTAATTAAAATTAAACTATTTTATACTTTGGCGTATTTGAATTTGGAAGCTGTTTCAAATTTGTAGATTATAATTTTATACTGTATTTTATGCTTTCTTTTTGCATTTTGATTAATTATTGTGAAACACCCAGAGAACCCTGGCTATTGGGCAATAAAGAAATATAATTAATTGATTAAATACATTAGGTGTTTCCTACCCATCGGGAAGAAATCTAATTCCAAACTCTATTAATGGGGCCACACACACTAAACATGACACAGGATCATCACTGGAAGGCCTGCCCCAAACAGATCGCAGCTTCAAAACGTATCCAGATTTACCAAGAGATAAATGCATGAACACCTGCCCTGGGAACGGCGTGAAAAATACGATGCCAGGGCAGCTGCATAACTACCGAGCATCCCAACCAGGGGCCTGCATGTCACATTAAATGTATTTCTTTCCAACAAGACTGAGAAAAGGAGATGTAACAACTGTTCTCTGAAAAGTACACCAGTCTCTGCAGGCGAGGGCTTGGCGCTCAACGCTAGAACTCTTCTGCTGCCCAAAGCGTAGCAGCTGCCTGTGGGCAAGCAAGTTTTATCAGCTTCTTCTTAATTTATCACCCTCACTTGGCTCTCTTAGCCTGTCCTGGCTGCAGTCATGGTAGTACAAAGCGACAGAGAGGCGGCCAAGAGTAGCAGAAGAAAGAGAACTCAGACCACCAGATTCCACAGTTAAAATGGGATCTGGGGAGCATGCTGGAAGATATGGGTGAGAAAAGCCTTGTCTCCCTTCTCACTGCTGACACGGCTCATCTCATCAAAGTCCTTTTCTTTAGGGAGAAGCAATTTGTGGCCACATGAATTTTGAAGTCAGTCCCCATTCCATGGAAATGCAGTGTTGTGGGGTCTGTGTGCACATGTGGGTGTGATAAATCGCTTTAGAAAACGATTTAGAAAGCAAGAAAGATCCAACAGCTCTGTCAGTTCCACACATGAGTAATTACACCACACATGAGTAATTCATTCTGCCCAGGCAGTGAAACAGGGGATTAAAAACCCCAAGCACAGACTTTTGCTAAACTTGAGGAAGGGTGAAGAGGGGGCCCCCAAGCACAGGCTTTTGTTAAATATGCAGAAGGGGGAAGAGTGGACTGCACTCTGTTCTGCTTAAGGCATTGGGCAGTGTCAAGTGCCGGGGCACTCTGCATGTGCATCGCGATTATTCTCTCCTCCAGCCCCATCGGACGGACGACTGTGTGCACTCACATGATAAGCAGACATCTGGAGTGCTTCGCAAGTCCCAGGCAGGCAATAAGGCAGATCACCAAGTCCAAGATGAACAGCAAGAGGTAGGAGAGCCATCTGTGGAGAGAGGGAACAGGTCAGCCTTGGAGCAATCTGCAGAAGAGGCTGGGATGAAATCCACGGAAGACCCCTTGGGGACAGTACTCCTGCAACTCCACTGGATCTGCTACTGTAGATGTACTGTCTCCTATCTAGCCTGATGAAGAGTTCTGAGAGCAAGGAAGACCTCAAAAGCTTGCTCACCATTATGGCTGGCCCTGAAAAAGATACTGCCTGAGAGTTGGTTTGGAGCAACCCTCTCTGCCTCCTTGTAAATCACGGTTCCTTTACTTCGACTGAGATTGTCACTCAAATGGATAGTCCTGGTCGCTCACCTGCAGTGAGATTAAATGATTGGTGTTGCTTCCTTGATTCAAACAGCTCAGCCCAAGAGTCTAGTCTTTTTTGTATTTCAGTATGGTGCATGTTATACTGTATTTTTAATGTGCTGCTATAAACAGAGAGCCTCTGCTATTGGGTGGTACAGAAATTAAACAAACTAATACATAGCCCAGCATATTTTTATATGCCTGCTGGCCAGATCCTTCTGCGATGCCCACAAGAAAGATGTGAAGGCAACAGTCCTCCTAAGACAACGAGACAAAACCATTTCTGAAAGGCTCTTCCTATTATTCCAGTGTCAGAGCCCACTGAGAGCAATTCAGAACCCAGCAATTTGGAGAGCCATAGCATTTCTAGTCTGCATGTTTCCAAAATGTGCATGTGGGTAGGATTTGCTGGTGAAGTTGCACAAGGCTGCAAGGGGTTCGCTGTACCCTGCAGAGCTCCTTGCATACGTTTAAAGAGAAAGGCAATTGTGCTTCATTTAAATAATGTATCGCATTGTGGATGTCATTATTCCATGACAGGGAATTCTTCCCAAAGAAAAGATGCAGAAGATACTCCGTTTCACAGACAGCGACTAGCTAGATTTGATGGCCCATCAGGTTCCCTGCCACATGGCACCCTTGCTCTGAAGGGTCAGCAGAACCCCGTACGCGGCCACTTGCTAAGTGCTCTGTGCGTGCACCTGCTGCAGCCCCACCCGGGGCTGCGTGAGCAGCAGAGGGGGTTTCCTCCCCACACACCCTGCCTCCGCCACCCCCGCTCCGGTTCTGCTCACAGCCAGTGCCTTTCTGCCTGATTAGCACTACAGAGAGAAGGAGGGGGGGGGCTGCTCCTCTGTTTTAATCTCTGCCTGAAGTTAAAAAAGGATCCAGTTATAATCCCTCTGAGTGAGCCAAGAGCTGGACTGAAACTTGGGGTGCACCATCACTACTCCAGGGGAGGATGCAAAAACTGGAAGGGGGAAGAAAGCTATGATTGCCAGCAAGGAGGGGGCCTCTGGCCTCATTGCTGGCCTCCCCCAACACACTCTCAACACTCACAGCCTAGTGTAGGCAGCCTTCTAAAAGCTTACAATAAGGGAGCACAATCAATAAACTAGAAGGCCAACTCACTCAACCAAAAACTTCATGGTGAATTTGATGTACGTTAAAGCTGGCCATGCGGAGAAGCAGGTATGCGGGTTTCAGTGCACAGTCAGTTATTTTCAGACCATGATGAGGTTCCACAGGCCAGACTATTGTGATGGGGGCTAGGCCAGAACATGCCTCACATGCAAAAGATCCTGGGTTCAATCCCTGATGGCAGCTTCCATAGAAGGATCGGAGAGCAGGTGGTAAGAAAGACCTCTGCCCAAGACCCTGGAGAGCAGCTGCTAGTTAGAGCGGGAAATATTGGTCTAGACAGAGTGTCTCATCCGATATAATGCAGTTTCCTAGGCTTGAACATTATTCTGGTTGCGTGACAGAGCACTCCGGTGGCCTCATCATTCTGCACCTGTGTGCAACGTGGCCTTCAGGCAGGCAGAAGGATGCAGTGGTGTAGGCAGAACCTTGCCACGCCCAAGCTCTGGGCTGAAGCTTGTCTAGGGCAGCTCACTCCCGGTGTTCAGAATGACTGCAGTTTCCCCAGTGCCGGTATCCCAGCACCATGCAACCATCCACATGTCGTCTTCCCATCAACCCTGGCCAGTAGAGCCAACGCCAGGCGGTGACGCAAGCTACAGTCCAGTGACATCCAGGAGGCTACACCTTTCCTGCTCCCAACATACCACCTGCCCCCCGCCCCCAAAACACACAATGTGCAGGATGCCAGTAAGATGGTTGATGTTTTTTAAATAAGCTACTAATATTTCTGGATGTGTATGTGATTATTAAGTATACGACAACTGGCGATTCCTGAGTTTCAAAACCACCCAAATGGCAATGCAATTTCAGCAGTAACATTCGCCCTTTGAATCGTTCCAGCATCCAAGGCTTACAAAATTCTTAGATTAAAGGCGTATGGAGAGCTGCCCAGGGAAGAGAGGAGGCCAGTTATGTGGATTACACAAACCATCCCACTGCCGAGCTGATCCCTGCAGAGGGCTAGGCTTCAGGACAAGGCGGCTCGTCTCTGGGCTACCGCCAAATGTGCCAAATCAGTCTTGGGCACAGAGGCTGTCTAGACAATGCTTCTGGCAGCACCAAGGGCAACGCTCACCAGCCATTTAAGTCAATCTTTTATACAAACCTAGTTCAAAAGAAACTTCTGTCCAACTGATATTTCCTGCATCATCATCATTGTACATTTATATCCCACCTTGCAAGGAACCCCAGGCAGCTTACATAATTCTCCTCCTCTCCATTTTACCCTCACAACAACCTTAGGAGGTGGGCTGGGCTAGGCTGGCCCAAAGTCACCCAGTAGCCTCATGGCAAAGTGAGGACTAGAACCGAGTCTCCCAAACCCCAGTCCAGCACTCTCATCGCTATGCTACACGGGCTTTATAGTAAGCACCTTTATAGAAAGCTACAGTAAGTCAGATTAGTAGCCGAGTTATTCTGTACAGCCTGTGGGCTTTTCATACAAGTGAGGCTGTGCCAGATTACTCGGAGCAGCAGCCACATTCCATTCAATGCCAATTCCCAATCATTCAAGCCTCACTCAATGGCTGTAGATTTCATGGCCCGAACTCTCCTCACCCGCTTCTGCTAAACCACATTATTGGACTTGGAAGACCATTCACTGAATGGCACACTCGCACAGTTGGCTACTGAGCTCTGTCAAAGCATAGGGAGATGCAACCTTGTGCAACAACTGTGAGAACAAGTCCAAGTGCAGAAGTGTCCCCATTTCCAGGAAATACAGGACTTACAGGCAAGGTAAGTATCTACCTTGAAATTATATCGACTTGGGTGGCCTGCCCTGCCATCTGAGTGAAGGGTGTGTGTTAAGTTATGCAGAGCTCCTCTAGTCAGAGCTGTTGCTGGCACGATTGCACGGCACAGATGGAAGGTGCCATCTGCTTCTGCAAAATGCTAGCTTGTCTTCATGAGCAGAAATGCCACTGAAAGGCAAGCCTGATCAAAAGACACATCTTCCATTTAAAGGGCTCAGTTGTTCACGAAAAGGTATGCATCTTACTTCGTTGAGCTTTGATACAACCACAGAGGCATGGCAGAAAATGGCGGGGAAGGGGGAGAAGCTGCTAGAGCTGGACTGAGAACAGGGCAAGATGGTACCTTAGACAGCCAAGCTTTGCCACTGCCGTAGACATCCTCCCTGTGCCATTGCTGCCCGATAAAAGCCCTGAGGGCCCAGGGTCAAGGACAGGCAGCAGAGCTGCACTTGCCTCCCCATCTCCCCCACTAAGGCCTGGGCACCATTCAGGTGCAATCCTGCTCTGTCCATAATCAATATCTGGGCAGGAGAAGTAGAGAGAACGGGGACTCTCCCCTCCACAACCTTTCACTGATGAGCAATCCCTGTGTCCTGATTCTGCCCTCACCAGTCTCAATGCAGATGGAAATCTTCTGGTGTACCAACATGGTGAAACTGTCAGCCACCTTCTCACCTGTGGCCTCAAGAAAGTGGCCACCTTTACTGCATGTCTCCATGGAGTAGCAGGGTGGAAGCAGGGCACTGGCATTTCCTCTGGCCCCCGTTCTCAGCAACCACTCCCCTGCCAGGCCTCCTCCTCACCAGAACAAGGCCAGCTGCATGATGAGTGGGGTGCAAAGGAGAGAGAGGAATGGGGGCATCCCAACCTTTTCTGTGAGAACACCATGAAATGCAGGAAGCCGCTCTGTATTGAGTCAGACCACAACCCCCATATATCCCATGATTTGCTTTAGGTTCAATGACTCCTGCTTACAGGGTTTGCACAATGCAAGAATCCCCAAGCACCTGATACTCACATGGTTATACCCAAGCTTAGTCTATAGGTTGTTTTCATGGGTTATGACTTTTTAAAAAATTGTTAGTTAGCATGGCTGGTTCACACAACACAACAACTCATGGTTCAGTGACAACCCACACAGAACCTTGAGTGCAGGTTGTTGTCTTATGTGAACCAAGCCACTGACTGGCAGAAGCTCTCTGGGGATTCAGGCAAGAATTGATCCTAACTGTACCCTGAAGATGCTGCGGATTAAACTCTGTAGGTAAAGCAACTGCTCTGCTGTTCAGCTATGACTACTCCCAATAGTTTCATGAGCCTAAAAGGAATTCCCCTTTATGCCTCTGAGATACTCCTGAATGGCGCATGCTGCCTTGAGCAACTCTGACAACTCCTGACTGGCTGTGTCTCCCTGTGTGGCATCCACTTTCACTTACCTGTAATATTCCACATAGCTGACTTCACTGGTGACTTGGGACAGGTCTATGGCGACATCCCCCCAGACAGGGAGCCCCGACAGCTGCAGCACAATATTGTTTGCCATCTGTTGCATGAACTTCAGTGTCTGCACATAGTCGCCTTGGGTGGCAAAGATCTCATTCAGCCGGGCCAGGTGCTGCTCCAAAGCTACTTTCATCTGCGTAGTGGTACTGAAGACCTGGCAAGAAAACAGGCTCTGTGAGAGGAGTTGACAGGGTGGTAATTCTGAATTGCTCAGTGGCTGGAAGAGACGGCCACTATCAGCTTGATTTACTCTTTGGTCTTGACAGGCCAAGAGTTTTTGCCAATTATACTCTTCCCATGTCCTCTGCTTCAAACAGTGGATTTCGTCCTAGTCACATCTGTTGTTAGTATTTTTTATTACTATCCTTTACAATCCAAGTCATAGTACATTCAGTAACGCACATCAGACGTTTAAACTGGAATAGCCCCCACCACCTCGGTTCCCTAGTCACCATCTCTAAAACAGGTTGGGATTTTCACTCCGCATCCACATGCAGTGGATGAAAAGCCAAAAATCTTCTCTTGTACCACTTGAGTGGTCTCCACTATGTGAACAAAGAGGGTGGCCACAGTGTGCTGCAAGTGGCCTGATTCCCACGACAAAGCACCCTTTTCCGGTGTAACAGCTGTGATGCTGCCCACGTGCAGCCCGCATGCTACAACTCCCCTTTCCATGGACAGAATCGGAATTTACGCTTGCCCATGCACAGGTCCTGGGCACTCTGATGCCCAGTATGAGTGCCATGCTATAATTCTGGGCAGGCTTGCTCCGCTGTTTACCTGGTTGACCGCTGTTACTCGGCAACATTGGACCAGGGAAGATGAGGCTATGAATGGCTCCTATGCCAAGGCCAAAGGCACTGTGCCTCTTTGTAACCGCTGCTGGGAAACATGGACAGGAGGGCACTGCGGCACTCAGGCCCCACTCGTGGGCTTCCCCAAGCAGCTGTTTGGCTGCTGTGTGAAAAGGATGCTGGACTAGATGCCCCCTACACCTGATCCAGCAGGGCTCTTATGTTCTCTGAAGCGGAGTACAGCGGCCCTGCCTTCTTCCCAGTGCGCTTGAGAATCCTACTTTTCCGAAGTGAGAATGTTTCTCCCCTGTGGATCCACTAGATTAAAAGAGAAGGCACCACTGTGGGCCAGATCTCCTTTACCTTCCAAGCAAAGGTTAAAGACAGGCTTCCATAAAAGCAGGTTGCTTACCTGTAACTGATGTTCTTCGAGTGGCCATCTGTGCAGTCACACATATGGGTGCTGCGCCTGCGCAGTGCCTTTGGCCGGAAGATTGAAAGCTAACGGTTTTTGGCGGGAAGCTCCGCTCCCCTCCCCCACAGGCTATAAAGAGCGGAGCGTCCGCCATTTGTTCAGTCTTTGACGACCGAACGTGCGCCCCCTTGTGGAAAAATTCTCGGTATGATCGGTACCAAGAAAAAAATGGGAAACTTTCAGTACCGATGAATGAGTCCACTCACCGACACCGAGCGGGGCCGGCGGGTGGGTTGTGTGACTGCACAGATGGCCACTCGAAGAACATCAGTTACAGGTAAGCAACCTGCTTTTCTTCGTCGTGGCCTCTGTGCATCACACATATGGGTAGATTAACAAGCTTACCATCAAAGGAGGAGGGAAGGTGTCCTTATTGTAGGACGGAGGAGAGTACAGCTCTACCGAAAGAGCAGTCCCGTCGAGCCCGAACATCGAGACGGTAGTGCCTGGCGAAGGTGCAAGGGTTCGCCCAAGTAGCGGCTCGGCAGACGTCATCGATCGGGACTCCGGATGCGAACGCAGAAGACGTAGCGACAGCTCTAGTAGAATGGCCTCGGGGAACTGTAGGCAGTTCGAGCTTAGCTAACTGGTAGCACAAAGTAATAGTGTGGACTATCCACTTAGAGAGCCTTTGAGGAGTGACTGGGTCGCCCTGATCTCTAGTCGAATATTTAATGAACAGTTTATTGGATCGCCGAATAGACTCTGTTCGCGATCGATAAAAGGCTAAACAACGCCGAACGTCGAGGGAATGCAAGGATCTTTCCAAGGGATTCGATGGCGATGGAAAAAAGGCAGGCAGTACAATGTCTTGTCCTATATGGAAAGGTGTAGAGACTTTGGGCAAGAAAGATGGGTCGAGACGTAGAACGACCTTTTCTCTGTGGAAGTTCAGATAAGGGGGGTCGATGCGGAGGGCACAAAGCTCACTAGCTCTCCGGGCTGACGTGATAGCTACAAGGAACGCCGTCTTCCACGAAACTAATCGGAGATCCACAGTCGCCAAAGGTTCAAAGGGGGCCCTCATAAGGGCCTGTAGAACTACAGAAAGGCTCCACGTGGGCATAACCGGTCTAATCAATGGATTGAGGTTATACAGTCCTTTCAAAAATCTCTTTAGAATAGGATGAGAAAACAGGGATGATCCATCGACTAAGCCACGGTAGTAAGCTATTGCGGCCGTATACACTTTAATAGAAGACGGCTTCAGTCCGGAGTGATGCAACTCCAGAAGGAACTGAAGAATTTGATCAATTGATGAGACAAGCGGGGAGAACGAATGAGACTCGGCGAAGGCGGAAAAATGCTTCCATTTAGCTGTATATGACTTTCTTGTGGACGGCTTTAGAGCAGCGTCGATAATATGCTGAATCTCAGGGTGCAAGAGCATTGGGTTCGAATCCGACGGGGTTTGAGCCGAACCCGATGGTATAGAGAGATTGTGGCAGTGAGAAGCACCCACATAGTTGGACTCGAGAATCGGGGCCGAAGCAGTCGAAGTGATCGTTGAAACCGATGAATTAATAGAAGCTGTAGGATTTGAGGGTCTCGAATCCGTCGCCGGCCCCAATGGAAGGTTAATCATCGAATTCGCCACGCTGTCAGATTCAATGAGAGCAAATCCGGATGACGAAGTGTGCCGTCCATTTGCGTTATAAGATACGGAAGTGACGGAAGATGAAGGAACTCTCCGCGGGAGATGTCGAGCAGTTTCGCAAACCACGGTTGGCGTGGCCACCAGGGGGCAACTAGTATCCCCGATGCACGGTCGCTCACTATCTTCGCTATGACCCTCATCAGAAGAGGGATCGGAGGGAAAGCATAAAAGTTGATGTTGTCCCAAGGGATCATGAATGCGTCCCCTAGGGATGCTTGTCCGATTCCCGCTCTTGAGCAGTAAGTCTCGCACACCCTGTTCTGTTGGGTAGCGAATAGGTCCACATCGGGAAACCCCCAGCGCCTGAACAGGTGGTTGCGCATGCGAGGGTCCAGTTCCCACTCGTGTGAAGTGAGGATGTGCCTGCTGAGGAGATCCGCATGTACGTTGTCTGTGCCTGCCAGATGAACGGCTATCAGAGTGATGTGTCTCTGAATGCACCAGTCCCAAATCGTCATAGAAAGCCTGGCTAAGGTCGGTGACTTCGTCCCTCCTTGTTTGTTCAGATAAAAAACGGTCGCTATATTGTCCGAAGTTATCTGAACGATCCGATGACGAATGAGGTCTTCGAAAGAACGAAGGGCTTTGAAGACTGCCAGCAGCTCTAGGAAGTTGATATGATTCGTGGATTCTAGGCGAGTCCACGTTCCCTGGGTAGACAGGCCAGAGCAGATCGCCCCCCATCCTAGGAGAGATGCATCGGTACCGAGAGTTACCGAAGGGGGTTGCGGCCTGAAGGGAACTCCCACCACGAGATTGGTCGGCTTTAGCCACCAGCACAGGGAGTGGAGCACGGAAGACGGGATCCGAATTCGTTTCGACTGTGAGTCTCTTTGCGGATGATACACTTTGTTGAAAAGTAATTGCAGTGGGCGAAGCCGAAGTCTGGCATATGGAACTACGGCAACTGTGGAGGCCATATGCCCCAGGACCCTCTGGATGGATCTCGCCGTAACCGTTCCCTCTCGTCGAATTCGATGGATATGGCGAGCGAGAGTCTGTTGCCTGTCCTGAGGAAGGAAGGCTTTTTCCAACGTCGAATCTAGGCGAGCTCCAATGAAGGTGATCGTCTGTGTCGGAAGAAGAGAAGATTTTTCTGTATTAATACGTAGACCCAGACTATCTAGTAAGGCATGGGTTGTATGGATGGTGTCTAGTAGTCCTTCTCTGGATTGCGAGACTAGCAGCCAGTCATCAAGGTACGGGTAAACTTGTATGCCCTGAAGGCGTAGGAAGGCACAGACAGGAGCCACACATTTGGTAAAAATTCTCGGAGCTGAAGCCAGTCCGAAGGGTAAAACTTTAAACTCATAAAGTTGGTTTGCAACAGCAAAACGAAGGAAACGCCGGTAATTTGGATGAATTGAAATATGAAAGTAGGCGTCCTTCAGGTCCAGTGAGGCGAACCAATCCCCTCTCCTTAACAACGGCAAGATGTTCTGAAGGGTGGTCATACGGAACTTCCTCGGTATAATAAACTTATTCAAGTCCCGTAAATCCAAAATCGGACGTAGACCGCCGTCCCGCTTGGGGACTGTAAAGTACCTGGAATAGAATCCGTGGAGTCCATCAGATGGGAATACTTGACGAATCGCTCCTTTAAGGAGAAGTTGATGTATTTCGTCGAGAAGTACCGGCGAACATGAAGTGGACCGGATTGGACTTGATGGAGGGATGATGTCGAATTCTATTCGATAGCCGTATTGAACGATGGACAATACCCACCGGTCAGATGTGATGGACTCCCAAATGGGGAGTCGGCTTTGGAGCCGGTCCCCAGATGAGAGGGGGGTGGGTATTAAAGGAGCGTGAGGAGTGGTTCGCCAGTCCCGTCAGCGCTGTCTCCGGTCGTCGAAACGACGGCGGCCCTGTTGGAAGCGCTGCTGGGGCGGAGGACGGCGACGCTGCTGTTGTTGCTGCTGGCGAGGTTGTGGAAGCTGTCTCTGTTGGTATGGCTGCCTGTAGGATGGCCGATTCCAGGACCACTTACGTCTGGTATGTGACTGGATCTCCATCCTGCGCGCTGTCACTCTTGACTCATGTAGCTTCTTGAGTTTATGGTCGGTGCGCGAATGGAAGAGTCCCGAGCCGTCAAAGGGCATCTCTTCTATTCGCCGCTTCGTTTCCTCCGGGAAATTACAACTCCGAAGCCATGTGTGTCTCCGAAGGGAAACGGCACCGACCAAGGCCCGGGAGTCAGTGTCCACGTGATGACGTGCCGTAGACAACTGCTGCACCGCGACCTGCATGGCTTCCTTAATCAGGACCTTCGCAAGGTCACCCTGGTGGTTCGGGAGGGTGGAGGCGACGTTGTGGAGGCGTTGCATAATAAAATATTGATAGCGCGCCAACGTCGCCTCATAGTTAGAAATGCGAAGTCCTAAGCCCGAGGCAGCATAGACCCGTCTGGCCAGGGAATCTATTTTCCGGCCCTCCTTATCCCTCGGCGCCGTATGTCCGCTCGCCTGCCTGCCTTGCGAGGATTCGACGACCGCCGAGTTTGGTTTTGGGTGCTTTAATAGGAAGGGAATGTCTTCTTCCCTGACCCTGTACATAGATTCATATCTCCTAGACGTCGGCTGGGGATGTGAAGGCAGGTCCCAGGGCTGCGTCATCGCCTGCCGCAGAGTAGTTATAAGTGGCAGGACGATAGAAGTCGATTGCTCCCCGCGGACGACGTCGTAGAACTTATCCGTCGACGGTCCCGGGCGCTGGGCAGCGTCAATGTCCAGGGACTGGACAAGCCTCGACATCAGCTCCGCGAAGGAGACGTGTGACTCATCAGGTGACGCAGGATCCTGGGATGTCACCACGACGTCCGGAGAAGTTGAATCTACGTCAGAGTCATCCGAATCAGCACCATAATATGGCGGGGCAGAAGATGACGACTCCGCCGGTGATAAGGAGCGGCTGCTTCCGCTTCGCGGGGATCGAGGCGGCACCCTCCTCGAATCCACAGACCGGGGCGGAGGTGAGGATCGCGCTCTGGGAGCAGGGTAGTATCCCACAGAGAGCGGGTCTCCCCAAGGTTGGTAGTAGGGACAACGCCAACTCTCCGGGCGTTGTTCTACCGAGCGGCTCCTCCGATTCCCTGGTGGGGACAGGCCAGCTTCTGTCTCCAATGTCACCGCGGGCATCGGTGTCGGTGACCTCGCTCTGGGAGGGGAGTCCTGAATTTCCCCGTCCGAGATAGACCCCCGTAGAATTGGAAGGGGTGCTGGCGGGAGGTCAACCACACGTCGGGGAGACCCCTGAGGGGTGACCCGCATAGCCTCTTGGAGGATCAGTTCGGGCGGGGTCGGTATCGTAACCGCCACCGGTACCGAAGGGCCTGTCGGTCCCGAGTCCCGATCTTGGGGACGATCCGTAGGCTTAGCCTTCTTTGGAGGCTTAGAGGCCTTTTCCTTTCTGGCCTTCTTATGGCCTGCCGGCTTGTCCTCAGCATGTTTGCGCTTCTCATGCCTCTTTTTTGGTGAGGCAGAGGGGGCCAGCGAAGCGGACGTGCCTTCGTCCGAAGGGCGTGAAGGAGGCACAGAAGCGGAGCCCGGTTTTGGGGTAGGGATGAGCGGGTCTGATTGCATCAGAGCCCTATCCCAAAGGAGCCTCCGAAGCCGGTTTTCGCGGTTCTTCCTAGCCTGTTTAGAGAAGGCTAGGCAGTGAACACACTTATCCGTCCTATGCCCTTCCCCAAGGCAGAGGAGGCATAGGTCGTGCGGATCGGTCGGTGCCATCTTTGACCCGCAATCAGCACATTTGCGGAAAGCCGCCCGCTGCGCCATCGCAGAAAGAGGAAGAAAAGAGAGATAGTGCAGAGGGTAAGTATATATTTTTTGATTTTTTTTTTTTTTAAATCGAAGAAGTGAGAGAGAACTACACAACGGGAAAAACGAAGTAACGGGAAAGTAGTTTAAGGGCAATATATAGAGAGAGAGAACCAGAATGGCCAAAGCGAAGGACGAAAGCGGCGCGAGGCACAGCGAACGGCGGTCGCAAAGACTGAACAAATGGCGGACGCTCCGCTCTTTATAGCCTGTGGGGGAGGGGAGCGGAGCTTCCCGCCAAAAACCGTTAGCTTTCAATCTTCCGGCCAAAGGCACTGCGCAGGCGCAGCACCCATATGTGTGATGCACAGAGGCCACGACGAAGAACCAGGTGTTCTTCATTTATTTTGAACTTCAACTCTCATCAGCGCTGGCCAGTACGGCCAATGGTGAGAAATGCTGGGCTTGTAGTCCAAAGCTTCTGGAGGATACCAGGTCAGGGAAGACTGGTTGGGTCCATCCCTCAACTGGGGAAAACAGTCCTTGCAGGAAGGCCTCCCACAGGCTCTTTGCCTACAGCATTACGCAGTCACATGCAATACAACTGAATACCTTTTGTGGCTCTTTGGTTGCTTCACTTTGGCTAGCGACGCAGAAAAGCAGAAAAAGACACCTGCATTGCCAAGGCTATGACAATGTTGTCTTTCTTTGTCTTAGTGCAATTTAACCCAGTCCTCAATGTCTTTCTCTGTGCCTTCTGCTGGCTAAATCTATCCACTTTTCCATGGGAAAGCAGAAAGGGTCCAGGCAGAGCTCTGCCTAGCAATCCTCATCCCTTCAAAGTACGTAGAAGATAGGCACCTCCAAGATGTCCTATATTTTCCCCAGGAGCCTGACATGCACGTGCTCTCAGAGGTTCCAGAGGCTGGTGTCACCAACTCAAACACGGGGCACCATATTGCATGGCAAAGGCGGATGTCACCTGAACAGACTCTGTCCCCAAAATGCTTAAATGCTACTTGAATTGCTGGCACACTGGCATCCTTTCCCCTGGCTCTCTTTGTATTCAAGCTCTCAGGCTGTAATTTAATCAATTACCTTCATTACGTGAGCTACAAACAAGCAAGCATTGCCTCAGGTTATAGACAGTATTTTTCATGCAACCAAAAGAAATAAAAGTTCCAGACAAGCTTTGCTCAGAAACTTCGGATAGTTTAGTTTAGATTAAAGCACCAGGAAAGACATGTGCCTCAAAAAACACATGGGGTCAGATGGTGCCTGGGTTTCTTCCTCTCTGTCCCTGCTATTCGTACCCATTTCCTGCTTCCACCACCCTTGGTGCTTTGCGAACACCTTCTGGCTCCCCATCTTGATTCTGAATCCGATCCCATCCAAGTGGGGCAATGTGAAGAGGTGCTGGACCCAGTCCAACCACACACATGCAAAAACACCAAAACCAAGCCAAACAAGCCAAAAGTAAGACAGGGCACGTATATGCCAAGTAATGCGGGAAAATCAAATAATATTAAAAAAGGGACTGGCAGTACAATTTCCCTAGAGGAGCAGAGGGAGTAGGAGAGAAATTCCACTTTTCAACCAGGTCACCTTTTGGTGTTTTTACTGCTGAACACTTTTGATTCTGATATTAAGTACTCCTGAGGAAGTCACAGCAAGCATGGACCAAACAGCTCCTGCTGGTGAGGTATTATTGGCTCTTGCTGGGCATGGTGCCATCTGAATAGTCGTACAGTTGCGCTCTCAGCAAAGCAGGGGAAGAAAGAGGTCAAGGGGGCTGGCAAGCTGCCTGGGCTCTCGTGATCCCTCTGAGAGGGTGCTGAAATCAGCTGGAGCAAGGTGCCTGTCAGTGCTGATGAGAAGTTGAAGTGCTCTTATGCTACCTATCTCAGCTTCAGAATCCCCAGAATCCCCACTCACGAGCTGATGCTTTCAGCACTGGGCTCCCGACTTGCCCAGCCATCTTCCATGAGCCATCTCAAGCATGCGCTCCCCAGACACCGGGACCCCGCTGGGTATGCCAGCCAGTCTTTTCAAACCCAACAGTTGTTGAGCAGTGGCAATAACCAGAACCAAGGCATTTTCCAGCGCTACAAAAAAGCATTTCCACAGCCACAGCAATAGCTTCCCATCATAGCTTTAGAGGTTTTGGCAGCCAACGTGCTCCATATAAAGGAAGGGAAAAGTTGACAGCATGGCTTATGCCCAGTCTGTAAGGCAACGCAGCTGCCTCTGCAAGCCCAGGACAGTCTAAGAGGCAGACAATGGCAGCTTAAGGAAGTATGCACTGTTGATGCATATACGTGAATCCAGTTCTTTGCTCTTATATACATCAAGAGCCAGGCAGCAATGTCTCTAGGGAAGCGGTGCACAACTTTTGGCCAACAGGACAGCACATGTGGTTGTTTCAGGGGCCATGCACACACGTTCCTGGGATTGCACGCACACACATACATACGCACTCAGACGTGCATGGAGAGACACATTTATTTAATTAATTTCTATACCACTCCATAGCATGCAGGTTCTCTGGGCAGTTTATAAATGTAAAGGTCACATGTACAATTCATAAAATACTCATATTAAATAAACAGTAAGACAATAACACAATACAACAGGACAATGACCACAGGACAACAACTGCAGCAGCTCTAAAAATTTAACCCTCCCCACATACACATGTGCGCACACATATCAGTGCTCTCAGGAATCTTGTGGGGGGAAACCTGGCCACAGGGGCAGGTCAGGTCCAGGAAGAGACAACCCAGCACATGCTTTTTGTCCTCTGACAGCTGCTCCCAACTTCAGCTCCAGAAGTGCTACCCCAACCAAAGTGCCTGGATTAGACGAAGGCAAAACAGACAGACAAACAAGATGGCATCAATTTAGCCCATGTCTTACCAGTGAATCAATCCCAGCAAGGGTGTGATTAGCATTATCCAGGGCATAGATCAGCTGATAAACCCCATCGTTGGTTTCACTGTTGCCATAGAAGCCAATACCAACAGCAGCACTAAGAGAGAAAAAACAGAAAGCGGAAAAGTTGTTTAGAAGAACAGTATCAGAGTTACTTACAGTGAGGGACACTGATACTCATCAAAACATTCAATCTGTTGCAAGATGATGGCAAATTCACATAATTCCCTCCCTGTAAGTAGGTATGAGGACCATGGATCCTTTGAAAAAGGATGTCCAAACAGTATCTTGGAGCAGGGAGGAGGGTCCTGGATGCAAGAAGATCTCCTAGATAGGCATGGAAAAGTACTGGGACTCACATGCTCACCCCCGATAACATTTGCCCCAGATGCCTTTATATCTCGCAAGGCTCCTGCACCAACTTGCATTAAAGGCTTTGTTGCAAATATGTGTCCAAAATAAACAGTTAATACTCTTCTAACTCATTTATATATTCCTACACTTTCCTGAGCTACTGTTTTCATAGAAAAGCAAATTAAGACAAAGACATTCTCCTACACTGAATCAGTTAGAGTCTAACAGAAGCATTTGAGCTGACATGCTGTGACTTTTCACTGACAGTGACTTAGGAACCTTTGATTATTAAAGGAATACCAGAAACGCAAAATGTGCATTAGATAAGAAAACTGGGGAAAGGATAACAGCTTACTGGAATACTGTCCACATGCAAATAAATTATGAGAAAGAGAAGCAGGTAATAATCTATTTGATTACTAACCTAATCTGAGGGTAAGTGCTCAGAAAAGCTAACAAGGGATGATGTAATTTTATTATTCCAAATCATTACTATGAATGTTGGAAAAATAGTCTCTATTGGTTAAGAAGATCTGCTCCGAAGCTCCATTTGGAGAAAAAAGGGATCATATCAACACAAGAGTCAGAGCATAGGAACTCCAGAACCCAAGCATCTGTCCTCACAGGAAGCAACATCTGGATTCAGGAAGACCAAAACATATTGGCCTTCTTATTGACTTCTCTGCTTCTTCTTGCTCCAGGTCAGAAATGTGATTGGATGTGAATTTTTAATCTTTTCTGTGAAAACTCAATTCTCCTAAAACAACTGTAGAACATCTTGAAATTGTTACATAACACTTGCCACCCCCAATCCTAGTGAAATGTCAAGGATAAAGGTTGTATACACCCTTTCTCCTCCTGATCCCAGCAAACGCTTTCATCGAGAGAGCAGGGCTTAGGCTTCATCCACTAGTCTGGGTTATTGCAGGGTCAGAACTTCATAGCAGCCCCCAAAGGAACCAAGGATGATCCTTCTTTGTTGCTTTGCCTAAGAACTGCTTGCTTTGAAGTGTGATCCAGGGGAAATTGAGCTTGGTTTGGGGAACCTGATGCATCATTTTGGGTGAGGTGGGGAGAAGTTGGATCACATCTGAATTAACTGAGGTAAGCAGGAAAGAACTAGCCCATCTTTAGGTACAGCTCTGTTCCTTTTGGCTCAGGGCCTAAAGGGTGGAGGGGTGTGGTGTCCAGGGACACAAATCCAATGGCCTGCATCCATGTCCCCTTCCCACTAGTGGTGTGAAAATACATTCTGAAGTCCAACCACACAACATGATAGCCCCACGGCCAAACATTCAGGCAATGGTGTTGATCTATATTAAACTAACTACTTTTCATTTCTTCTGCTGCAGGCTTTTGTAAAATTAATGGCTCTTGATTATCACAGTCAAGACCAAGCCAGGTCAAATTGCTCTGCATTACAACAGATTAAAACAGGTGCATGTATTTTCCTTTACGTTAAAGGCCATTTCACATCTAAAAATATGCTTACATGAATTCCTCTTTTTTTTGGGGGGGGGAGTTGTAGGTTTAGGGCTAGAGAGAAGACATTTATCAATAAAAGATTATATCTGTGTGGTGATGCACACAATATTCACACAATATGGCATGAGAGAGGGAAGAAAATCCAAGCAAAGTGAATCAATTGCATGGTAAAAATGGTGGAGACCCATTTTACTAAAAAAAACTCAAACTGTGCTATTGGGTAGAATAATATTCCTTTTAAATGGCAGTCTTTAAGTGTGCATCTGATGGCTAAATACAGGAAATAGAAACATTAGAACTCTATCCAAGGGTCGTAAAAGAGTTAGTGGGGGAACTCTCAGAACCACTGGCTATTATCTTCAATAAATCTTGGGAAACAGGAAAAGTGCCAGACTACTGGAGAAGGGCTAACCTTGTCCCCATCTTCAAAAAGGTGGAAAAAGTCACACCTGGGAACTACAGACCAGTTAGTCTGACGTCTATCCCTGGAAAAATTCTGGAGCTAATGATTTAAAAAAATCAGTCTGCAAGCACCTCAAAGAAAATGGAATGATTACAAAAAAGCCAACATGGATTTATTAAAATTAAATCCTGTCACACTAATTTAATTTCCTTTTTTGACTGAGTAACTTCCCAAATGGACAGAGAGAACATTGTGGACATAATCAACCTAGACTTTAGCAAAGTTTCAACATAGTGCCCCATGACATTCTGATAAGCAAATTAACAAAAAGTAGGCTAGAAAGAAAAACTATTAGATGGATTCAAAATTGGCTGCTAAACTGGACACAAAGACATCAATGGCACCTTCTCTAACCGGAGGAAGGTAACTAGCAGGGTGCTGCAAGGTTCAGTCCTAGGCCCAGTGTTCTTCAACATCTTTAGTCATGAATTAGATGAGAAAATACAAGGAACGATAATCAAATTTGCAACCAATACAAAATTGGGTGGAATGGTGAACACTCTAGAAAACCGAAATAAGATCCAGGGCGATCTTGATAAACTTGGGACACTGGGCTGAAAGCAACAGAATGAGATTCAATAAGGACGAGTGTCAAGTCCTCCACCTAGGAAAAATAAACCAAATGCAGCGCTACAAGATGGGGAATAAGTGGCTCAGCAGAAGTGAAAAAGACAACAGGCTAAATATGAGCCAAAATGCAATGCAGTTGCAAAAAGGGCAAATGTTATTTTGGGATGCATTAAGTCAAGTATTACTTCCAAATCATGACAAGTAATATTTCCCCTATACTCCTCACAAGTCATACCTCACCCGGCATACTATGTCCAGTTTTGGGCACTGAGATTTAAGAAAGATGCAGAAAAACTAGAAATGGTTCAGAGGAGGGCAACAAAAATGATCCTGGGTTTCAAAATACTGCCCTATGAGGAAAGACTGAGAGAACTGAGCATATTCAGCCTTCAGAAGAGAAGACTGATGTGGGGGAACGTGGTGTCACTCTATAAGTACCTCAAAGGCTGTCACAAAGAGGAAGGTCAAGATCTCTTTCTCACTTATTATCAGAGTGTAGGACATGGAATAATCAGCTCAAGCTGTGACAACTCAGAGACATGCTCACTGTCAGAGCAATGCAACAGTGGAACCAGCTGCCTGGAGAGGCGGTGGGCTCTCCCACACCAGAAACATTCAAAAAGAAACTGGACAATCATCTGAGTGGGATGGTGTGAACTGGTGTCCTGCAACAGCAGGGAGATGGACCCAACATCCTTCTTGGCCCCTTTCAGCCCTACTATTCTGTGGCTCTAGGCTTCTGCCTCTGCTATGCAGTGAAAAAGCTCCTTCCATGGGGTCAGTGCACCTCACTAGGTAATCCTAGTAACCTTAAACTTAAATTTCTGATAACAAGTCCTTACCTAACTATGTTATTATGTTATTTTTTGCTTTTAAACAGGAACATATCCAAACACACTGGGCGATTACTGGCAAACTCATGCAATGCCCAAGCAAAAGAGTTAGTGGTGAAGCAATCACAGACACTTTTGCAGTATGATCTATGCAAATTAACACAGATGTCTGCATTCCAGGCAGCTTTCTCCCTTTGTAATATCCTTTAGGACTGTAGCCTTAGAGGCTATGATTCAACTTTTCATGTGTACTAAGATCTTTTTAGAGGAATTAATAATATTTAGATAATGCAGGGGTGGGGAATATCTGGTCCTGGACTGCAAGACCCATAAGCCCTGCCCATTGGTGGCTAAAGCTGATGGGCTTTGGAATCCACTAAAACCTGGACAGTCACATGTTCCTCACCCTTGATGTAGCACTAGTACACATGGACTTTCAGAGTACAACAGAACTGGACTAAGAACCTCACAATCTTAAACTGGATACAGTGGAACTCACAGAGGAAAGGAAAAGAGAAGTAGAGACATACTGGGCACTGTACTTATTAGATAGATTTGAGAATGCAAGTCACTTCACACAGAAAATACATCTGGGTAGAAAAATACCCTGTAATTTGACTATAGATCAGCATTGGGATTGTATGCATTTCTAACTGCTGAAACCCATTTATGAAAACAATATGTGAAGCAATGTACTTGGAGGCTTCAGGGTTTTCTCCACTCCCTTTTCATGGAGGTTTCTTATGAGAATCGGAAGAATCAGAACTGTGTATGCCAATATGAAGAACTCTGCAAGACTGTCAGTACTGAGGAAGGAAGAAGGCCAGGGAAAATCTGCTTGCACATTACTGGTGTCTTGTTACACTGATCTACCAACAGCTTTGAAACCAAACCAGGGAAGAGATGCAACTTCATTCTCAGGATGCTTAAACCACCAGGCATAGATGACAAGGAATCAATCATTTAATATTTGGTTTGGGGTTTGGTTTTTTTGCCACTTAACAACTAAAGCAGCCCTTTCTCAGGAGGCTTACCATTGAGATTAGATGAGGACTGGAGCCAGTGAGGGCTCAGACTGACCATTATATGGTAGGATGGAGAGAAATCAAAGCTCCAGTTCTAGCTAGTGCAGAGCTGAACAGAACGACTCTCATGACGTTGCTGAAAGTCTGTCATCTCCAGGTCTTCAGGACAACAGGCGCCCCTCCCACTTCACAATGAATTGACACAAGCATCACCCACTTGGTTTCATTCCCCTCCAATTCTAGGGCTTAAAGGGATGCTGCAAGCCAGCAACACTCTGAGTTGTAAGCCTGTTCTCTCTGAAATGCAGAGGGATTTAGGCCAAAAGGGGGGAAAAATATGGACTAAGCAGATTATGTGAATCTGTCG